GTAGTTGGATGCCATCATTGTGTGTACCGGAACCTGACTCCGGTCCCACAATAGTGACAATACTGGTTAGTCGAGAAATGCAGAGGCTGCTTGCGCGAGTAACATTCAACAACGTCCCTTCACGTCAATTGATGATCTGTCTAGTACACTCGCTGTTTTAACGCATGAGAAGTCGGGTCCTGGTTGAAGCGTAATGACAGAAACCCACTAGAAATACTGTGCATTGCGAACGTGTTACAACTCCGTGGCGTTGCCTCGAGAATTGCTGGTGCCGTCAAAAGAAACAGCTCTTGAGGGTAATCTATAGAAATGTATCATGTAATGAATATATAAAACCGAGCTGAGCTTCTTTCGATTCTTTGGATATAGGTTTCAAACTGACAAGATTCTCTTCAGGAGAGCAGAATTTATTATATAACATTAAAGCCTTATCAATTGAGGTCTGTATTATAACTAATCTGCGTGACAAGAGCCAGAAAAATCAGGCTACACTTTGCTGTACGATTCATCTGATCCTGGTACGTGGACGGCTTACAAGAACTGTCTGACAGAGCGGCGCCAGCAATCCTGCAACCTACCCAAGGTTTTGGCAAGGGTTCCGCAATGCACAATATATATCTATTGTCTATTTGCAGAACCTATCTTATGTAACACCGGCCAGGGCCGCCTCTCAGCAAACCACGATCAGACCCAACAAATCCCTTCTATAGCAAAAGGGCCATCAACATCACACCTTGGTTCTATTTGTCGTCTCACCGTCAATTACTCACCAGTGATACAGCACGCGGCGAACCATGCGTGCTGTGATGATACAGATCATCAGCCTCGGCCACCACTTTAAGTTCGCAATTCACTGCTGAACCTCGAGCTTGACGCTAGCCTTGGATCTGAACAATATGTTCATTACTGCGAAGAGATTTTCTGGCTCTATATTGTCAAGCGTTATAGTTGTGCGATTGCCAGCATATCCTCCATCACTTGGGCAGGCAAGACCAGTGGCTCCTAAGAGACCCATAGGATTGCCGCCTTCAGGTTTATAAGAACCCAGCAGTGTTTGGGCCCAACTCGCGGCAGACGGATGTTGTTCTGTCAACAACACAGAATCTATGGTGTCATTCGTCTGCGTTGTTGTGAGAGGGCATAGAAGACACAAACGGTTTTGCGCGTCAGTCTCCAGCTCGGTGGATGTGTCTTGGTAGCCACTGGTATCGTAGCTAGGACTGGAGAATTGACACTCGTCTGTCTTTACCTTCGGATCATTCTCAGGTGAGTCGTGTAAAGACAACGGTGTCTGTTGACTTGACAGTGCATCATGGTTTGGCATCCTGGCCCCCAGGTCATTCACTTCTAGGTTGCCAAGGTCTTGCAGGAAAGGCGAAACCATGTCAAACGAAGTAAACTCTGAAAAATCAATGTCTCCCCTGTTATCTAATAGACTTGAGGCATCTGTTATATCCTCGCAGCCAAGGGGAGAATATCCTCTGTCGAGATTACTGGACGCGCTTCCACCTCTGGACAACAGGGTTCAGCATCCTGAGGAATCTGGATCCTTCGACGCAGGGCAAGGTTAAATCTGAAATTCATCGTCAGCTAGGTGAGTTTAATGGTTACACTTCTGTTCCGAACATACTGATTTTTAAGTGTGTTTGCCGACCGCTCTGGCATATGAATTTTCTGGATGCTCTTCCATGATGTACCCTGTTTTCTTGCTGCTATCAAGAGGGAAATGGTCTAGAAGCCGCTGTCAGTCAAACACAGACAGATCTCTCCTAAACCTTAATTATTACCTCTTCTTCAGTCCATTCGCTATGGTCCACATTGGGATCCAAACAGTGGGTCCAGCGTTTCGAGCACTCTAAAGATATGATTAGCTCAAGCGACCGGTATCCACGTTTGGATCCACGTGCGGTCAGCGCTTCGATTTGTCATCTTCTGCGATATTACGGACCAACTCTGGCCAAACTGTGATACATAGCTCATCAAGTGAGCGTCTTCGTCCTTCGTACAAGCTCCCTACATGATGAGTCAGATCAATACGACTACAAGAACTCTGCGCCATTTCTTGTACCTTTTTCAGACCACCCGCAACCTCGTTGTAATATCGCTTGCGGCAGTCCTTGTTGCTTCTTTGAGGAATCATGTTGGCAACTGTGCTCCAGTCCTTAATCTCTCCCTTGTTTGCTAGATACTTGACGTATTAGCCTTTCACAATTCAGAACATCTTGCTCGAACCTGTTTTCCATAGACGCGTACCTGCTCGTTGGTTCTCAACCTGATCCCGCAGAGCTGCGTCTTCTTCGGTAGACCAGCGTCTTGGGTGCTTCGGCATCCTTATGCATAAATGGGCTGACAGGAAAAACACAACAGATATCACTTCTACATAATCAGTGCTTGAGACATCTGAAATCCTTGGGAATTTCCACGTCGGGTTAAAAGAGGGCTGTTACTTATACATCAGCAGCCGCTGTGGAAGGATGTGTTGACCTTCTGAGAGGGGCTATTGGCCGCGTTTGATATACGTAATCCCTGCGTTTCTACTGCTTCTAATTGGTCGGTTTCCAACGCAATTTCGCTTCTAATTTCGCTGTACGGTACAGCCAATTGTACATAGATCTACGCTCTCTACTCCCGTAGCGATCAATCAACTTGCTTTTTGAACGCACTCTGCACAGCAGGTTGACAGGATGTTATACGCTTGCATGAGCAGCGAGCTCAAATATGCAAGTGATCTTCAACTCAAAGGATTTGCTTATGCATGCGAGGCGATTGTGTGTCCGTAGGCGAAACCGGACATGTGCACGAAGCTGCTCCCGTCTCCCCCAAACAACATCATCCTCACTACCATCCTCACTACATACCACCTGAGTAAATACGAAATCGGCCGATAAAGCAAGAAAAAGCGCGGCGTGAGTTTAGGGTCTGGGCGAAGAGGTAGGAGCGGTACAGGCAACGTATCTGTGTGATAGGCGACATGGCTACCGACGTGAATCATTAAAAGCTCTCGAGTGTTGGTGTAGGTAGTTGTAGTGTGCGTACCATGGATAGGGGAAATTGATCGACTAAAGTTGAGTAAGAGGTTGCATTAGAGCAACGGAAGCTACTATGGTATCGGGCATGATTAATGTCTGCTGGGCACTAGATAGTTTCGTTTTACTCTAGAAACTGTATCTTCCTATGTACAAAATCTGCTCGGTCGAGATGCGTTTCACGAGCGTAATGTGCTAGCTGCTTGGCGGCCCCACCGACATTGCTTATGCTGGATACTATTGTACTAATTTACCAACCACCAAGCGTAACGTCTTTATCCCCTCCGTACCCAATGTGCCAATTAGCGTAAAATTTTCAAATTAATGTTTTTGAGCCGCATGCGATCTACACAACGCTCCGCAGCTGACTTTGCTCTTGAGATTTCAACCACGAAATATGCTACGACCACAGCGAAATACCCAGATCCCTCTGAGATATAGATCGAGCTCACCTCCGCGATTCGAACAAGTTACTAAACGGTCAAAACGAAGCAGAATTGACCCGTCTGCAATCGATCGAAATGATGTCGATCAGGCCTTGGCAGTGATCGCTCTAGCGCCAGAATGTACAGATGAACTGCCTACATTCATACCAACAGAACTGCCTCAATTTGAGGCTAATTACGTTCTAAATCGAACAGGAGCTTCTCAATACTCTAATCTATCAGAATTAGGCTTTTTTGAGCTCTTCTTTAGCCTAATTGTGGTGAAAATTCTCTCTGAAGAAACCAATTTGTACGCCAAAATCCATATTTATCCTGAAGGGCGTTGGATACCTACTACACCTGCTGAAATACGTGTATATCTAGGCATACATCTTCATTTTGGCTTATATTAATTGGCCGTACGCAGTGATTATTGGAAGATGCACAAACTGGGTCAATTTATGGGTCGAAATCAATTTCAGCAAATCCATCGTTATTTCAGTATGAATTCTGCTCCTGCATAGCTAAATGCGCCTTGGTTTTATTGAATTCAACGCGTTGCAGACCTTATTCGAATAGCCTGCCGAAATGCTTACATACCCTCCTCTTATATTATAATTGATGAAGCAATAGTGGCTTTTGAGGGGCGTTCGAATCATACGGTTAAGCTCAAGAATAAGCCAATTACTGACGGTTACAAGCTATGGTGTATTGGCGACCATGAATATATCTAGAGCTGGCTATTTCATTCAAGAGTTGATGGCATTAAAACATTTACAAAAGGTTGTTACAGGTTGCACCTGTGGGAATGCTCGAGCTGTCAGGTGCTCTCGCGTACCATATGGAACCTCCAACATACTGATTCTGATTGCGCTCTCTTCCGCTCCAATTCCTAGCTTCCGTCTCGTACGGAAGCTCCGAGATGATGGTACGATGTCTAGTCATGTGTCAACCTGCTGTGCAGAGTGCGTAGAGAAGCAAGTTGATTGATAGCTACGGGGGTAGAGAGCGTAGATCTATGTACAATTGGGTGCACCGTACAGCGAAATTAGAAGCGAAATTGCGTCGGAAATTGACCAATTAGAAGCAGCAGAAACGCAGGGATTACGCATATTAAACGCGGCCAATTAGCCCTCTCAGAAGGTCAACATCATGTTTTCCTGAGTCCTGCCCCTTTCTGTTCTACAATGTATATAGATACTCTCGCTCGTCAGTAGTCGTGACTCGGTAGCTAGAAATCTCAGTTCAATCTGCGTTCCTTGTTCAGTGCATACTCCTGACTCTGAACCGTGACATTATTTCTAGCTCCCCTCAAACCCTCTTGTAGGCAACAGAGGTCGACACATACGGTGTTGTACGGACTCTACGAAATCCTTCTCAACACACGGTTGACAAGGTCGACACACACGGTGTCGTACGAATCAAACGAAATCCTAAAGGTCAACACAGGGTTGACAAGGTCGATAAACGTACGTTTATCGGACGGATTATTTGATCAAGACGAAACCCCCCTAGAAGGTCGACAGTAAGATACTGTCGTACAATCACGATGTCAGACGAAGTACCGTCCGAAGTTCCAATATGGTTCAGCCAGATATTGGAACGACAAATACAAACGATGAACGAGATGGCCGCGAACCAACAAGCATCCCTGGCCACGCTTAACGATCGAATTTCCCTGATGGAACAAGAGCGTACGCTAAGAAACGCTAGTTCGGACCAAGCGCTACTAGCTCTAATAACCACTACCTCTTTAACGACAGAAGCCTTGCCTGTCGTACGAACTAAGGCAAGGCTCCCTCATCCTGACAAGTTCGATGGCTCAGATAAGACAGCGTTTCCCTAATTTGAGGGTTCGCTCTGAGCGAAGCTCTCAATTGATAGTGATGTAATTAGGGGTGAGGAGGAGAAGGTATGATACGCGTTCGGGAGATTAAGTGGAGATGCCTCCGTACGAATTTTCCCCTGGATGTCGTACGCTCAAGAATCTGGCCAATTTACGGTCAAAGGGATTCTTGAGCAGATGTCGATCGCGTTCCGCGATCCCTGACACCAACAGAAGGCGTTAGACCAATTAAATCGTACGAAGCAAGGTAAGAAAAACTTTAGCGATTTCATGAATGAGTTCAATCGCCTGTTGTTAGAAGCCGAAGGCTGGGGTTGGGACGACGCTGTCAAGAAGGGCTTTCTAAAGGCCGCCCTGACTCTCGAACTTCGCCGCGCAATGGTCGGAGTCATCGAGAGCGAAACATACGAAGCTTACTGTTCACAGCTTTGTACGGTAAACGACTAGCTAGAACAGATCAAGGAGATCTCGACCTTCCGGCAAGGCTGGAAAAAGAGGACTGACGATGTAAGATCGTCGGCAACAGCGGATGAGATGGACTGGCAGCCAACTACTGTGCTAGTCGCAAAGATTCGTATGAAGGAACCACGATGGGCATCTGAAGACGAGATTGCACGTCGACGTGAGGAAGGACTTTGTCTGCGCTGTGGCCGAAAAAGTCATAGAGTGAAGGAATGCAAGGCTGACTTGTCAAAGGACAAGAAAGGGGGGAAGGAAGTTCGTGTGGCTCCTGTTCGTGCGGAGCCGCCTGATCAAAAGAATGACAGTAACTCGTCCGACGTTGAAGAGTCGGGAAAAGAGTAGCTTCTGGCAAAAGACGCCGCCAGAAGCGTACGACGGAGGTCGTACAAAACAAAACAGATTAGATCTAATTTTCAAAGTCTCTTAATACATCTCCATTCCTTGTTTCCACACTTGTGAATAAGAAATGCTATACAAACACCTTGATTGATACTGGATGCCTCTCTTATGGAATCATTGATTCACGTTTTGTACGAAAGCATAATCTCCCGCGCCTGTCTATCGCCCCACAAATGATTGAAGGATTCAACGATATCTCAAATGATCAGATTACAGAAGTCGCTGAGTGCAATATTGATATTGATAGTCATTGTGAAGAACGAATTTTCCTTTATATTGCTCTCTGTCTTGCTTCGTACGATATGATCCTCGGCCTCGCATGGGCTAGAAAGCAACAAGCAGTATTGAACGCTGAGAAATCCGAATGCTTACTTCGTACGACACAAGTGACTATTAGAAATCAAGCTCATCTATTTGAATCTCCCTATGACTATGTTCATGTTTCCGCTGCTGCCTTTACCGCATTATCACGACGTACGAAGAAAAAGAAGCAAGATGGTGCTGTCCAAATATTTGCTGCAAGCATAAAAGACATTAAGAAGGCTTTACGACTAAAGACAACTACGGACCCCCGTACGAAACTCCCAATACAGTACCATGAATTTCTGGATGTATTTGACAAGAAAGAAGCCGACAAGCTACCACCAATTCGAGGGAATGGTGTTGATCACAAGATTGAGTTGGTTCAACAGGATGGCAAGAAAGCAGAAGCTCCTTAGGGACCATTATACAATATGTCCCGCGATGAACTACTTGTACTACGAAAGACTCTTACAGAATATCTTGATAAAGGATTCATTCGTGTGAGTAATTCGCCTGCAGCTGCCCCTGTTCTCTTCGTACGAAAGCCTAGAGGAGGTCTACGATTTTGTGTTGATTATCGTGGTCTGAACAAGATTACACGAAAAGATCGATACCCACTTCCGTTGATTCAAGAAACGCTACAGAATGCTAGAAAAGCGAAATGGTATACGAAACTCGACATTGTGGCTGCCTTTCATAAAATACGAATCACTGAAGGAGATGAATAGATGACTGCGTTTCGTACAAGATATAGACTTTATAAATAGATGATTACCCCTTTTAGCTTAGCAAATGCTCTAAGCACGTTTCAACAATATATTAATTAGGCACTACAAGACTTTCTTAACGACTTCTGTTCTGCTTATGTGGACGACATCTTGATCTACACTGACAGTTCACTGAAAGATCATCAACAACACGTACGATAAGTCCTTGAACGTCTTCGAGCAGCAGGTTTACAGATTAATATCAACAAATGCGAATTTGAGACGAAGAGCACAAAGTATTTAGGATTCATTCTTGAAGCAAAAAAGGGCATACAAATAGACCCAGAGAAGATTCAAGCAATTAAAGAATGGCAAGCACCAAAGACGGCTACCGCTGTACAAAGTTTCCTAGGATTTGCTAATTTCTACCGAATGTTTATTCTGAAGTACTCTGATATCGCTATGCCTCTCTTGCGACTCACATATAAGAACACTGTTTTCTTCTGAAATGATGAATGCTAACAGGCATTTAATAAGCTTAAGACAATATTTACAAGTAAACAAATCCTTGTACGATTTGATCCAGGCTGAGAAACGATTCTTGAGACTAACTCTTCTAGATATTGTATTAATAGTATGCTAATATAAGTTCAAGATAATAGTATACTCCGTCCTTGTGCGTTCTTCTCAAAGAAGAACTCTCTAGCTGAATGCAACTATGAAATCTACGACAAAGAAATGCTAGCTATTATATGATGTTTAGAAGCCTGGGACGCAGAGTTACGAAGTGTTGAGAGATTCGAAGTCTGTACAGATCACAAGAATCTTGAATACTTTATGACAGCGCGTAAGCTTACAGAACAACAAATGCGATAGTCACTTATTCTCTCTTGGTACAACTTCATAATCTCGTACATCCCAGGCAAGATGAACGAACGAGCAGATGCCTTATCAAGACAGGAACAAGACATGCCACACGGCCAGGATGAACGAACGGACTATCGTACAATGCAACTATTGCGACTAGACATGTTCAGAACGAAAGACACTATTTCAGCCGCTCTGGTACGCACTATGCGAAGTTCATCTGAAGATACCGACGATCTGCGAGCTCTATGGAATGAGGCTATGACATATGATGAAACATACGAAGCAGCCCGGGATGCAATTCGGACAGATAAGGCAAAGTTTCCCCGAGAGTTGAACTTGAAGGTCTCCTTAAGCGAATGCAGTCTGGACAGCCAAGATCGGTTGCTCTTCCGTAGACGAAAATGGGTTCCAGATTACAACACACTTCGTACGAAGATGATCCAGAGAACGCATGATGACAAGATCTGTGGACACCCTGGTCGAGACAACACGGCCCAAGTTCTGTCAAGGAATTACTTTTGGCCACGAATGTCGGAGGACGTACAACGCTTCGTACGAAACTGTCAGGTATGCAGACGATCCAAGTCATGGAAAGACCAACGACAAGGCTTTTTGAAACCACTCCCAGTACCAGACCAAGTATGGAAGGAGATCTCAATTGACTTTATCATCGATCTGCCGGAAAGCGAGGGCTGTACGAACATCATTGTAGTCACTGACCGTCTAAGTCGTGGCGTCATTCTGGAAGGACTTCCGAACATCCGTACGGAGACCGTGACAAACTGGTTCTTGAAAACGTTTTATCAACGATACTTCCTGCCACAAGCTATTATTTCTGATCGAGGCGTCCAGTTTGTTAACAGATTCTGGAAACGACTATGTCAACAATTAGGTATCATACGAAGACTATCAACAGCCTATCACCCTGAGACAGACGGCGCCACAGAACGTATAAACCAGACGCTAGAGGTGTACTTACAAATATTTACTTCGTACACGCAAGATGACTAAAATAGCCTTCTCCCTGGTGCTGAGCTAGCAATGAATAATACTGATTCAGCGACAACTAAGGTAAGCCCCTTTTTCTTAGAACATGGGTATTCCGCAGACCCTCTAGACCTGGAAGATACGTATGAAGACAACATGAAAAGGGACTCCCCAATAGCGAAAGCAGAACGAGTCGTACGAAAACTTCAAGATGCACGAGAATGGGCACAGTCCGCGATGGCAGCAACACAACAAATAGTCGAGAAGGCTGTCAATGAACATCGGCAAGAAGGACCTAAGTATAAGGTGAACGACAAGGTATGGCTGGACCTGCGAAATGTTTGTACGGACAGACCATCAAAGAAACTGGATGACAAATACGCAAAATACACGATCACGGAAGTGATAGGTTCACACAGCTACCGCCTTGATACGCCGCCAGGAATCCACAACGTTTTCCATAGTATGCTCTTGCGACCCGCTTCGTATGACCTGCTTCCAGGCCAAAAGCAAGATGACACGCATCCAGATCCGGTCATGCAGCCTGATAAAGAAAACGAATGGGAAATCGACAAAATTGAGAACGAAAAAGGCACTGGTTGACGACGAAAGCTACTCGTACGATGGAAAGGATACGCTCGACCTACATGGGAACCGGCATCAGCACTGGAAGACACGGCCGCTCTAGATGAATGGGAGGCACGTACGAGGGGAGGAAGGGGGTAATGTTACAGGTTGCACCTGTGGGAATGCTCGAGCTGTCAGGTGCTCTCGCGTACCATATGGAACCTCCAACATACTAATTCTGTTTGCGCTCTCTTCCGCTCCAATTCCTAGCTTCCGTCTCGTACGGAAGCTCCGAGATGATGGTACGATGTCTAGTCATGTTTTCCTGAGTCCTGCCCCTTTCTGTTCTACAATGTATATAGATACTCTCGCTCGTCAGTAGTCGTGACTCGGTAGCTAGAAATCTCAGTTCAATCTGCGTTCCTTGTTCAGTGCATACTCCTGACTCTGAACCGTGACAAAGGTCAACAAACACGGTGGCCACAGCAACAGGGCGCAGACGTAGATTCAGATACTGAAAAGAGCGCTTTCCTTGCGCCTACGTACGTACTCGTTTTACGCCTTGCTACATAACTGCTAAAGCTAAAATTCTGCATCTATCTAGATAATCTATTTCTGAACGTACTAGTAGCTTAGTGCCTTCTGGCGATGGGTATTTACTGTATAAGAACTATACAAAAAAAGGCCGCAGACGTGTCTATACAACTTTAGCATTATCTTAACGATAATAGTAAGCTTCTCTAGGATTCTACGATAGCATAAGTCATTAATAACAATACTCTAGCCTTTATTTGGCAAGATAATAAGGCTGTTTGTGCTCTTACAACTACTTATAGCCTCTATCGTACAGAAGATCAAATTCAACAAACGCGCAGATGCCCTAAAATCTCTTCTAAAAATCAACGTATCCTTAACCCTGTATTCAAGGGCTTACCCTTTAAGGATCTCTTTATACCAAGAGCTATTAATGATTATAACTACTATATAAAGGGCGTAGATCAAGCGGATTAGCTACGCGCAACATTTACTTGCTATCGTAAGCAAAGTTATCGTACACAAATGCCCTTGATCTACTTCCTTATTAATGTTGCCTGCATTAACGCGTATTTAAGATTCACAATCTCTACCAACTGTAGTACTTCAAAGACACTATAAACCCATACAAAAGAAGTCCGGCGGACGGTGCCAATGGGGAAAGCTTCATCCGCCAGGTTGTACACGCAAAAGGGCATCAAAACGCGCATTTGGAACAGATACTACACGCTCAACCAATAATGGCATTTCTACAGCTATTTTAGGAGGCTCACACACTCATTATGAGTGCTCAAAATGCCAGATTTGGCTCTGTATCGAAGGAGAGTGCTGGGCACAATATCACCACTCAATTGGAGTCAATTGCTAGATAGAACGGCCTCAAATAGCTCAAATAGGGTGTTTATTGACATTTTGAGCCTCCCCGCAGTGATCGACAGCGCTAATTGGCACATTCTACACCCCTGTTCGGGTACGGAGGGGATACGGTCCTGTGACCTTACTGTTGTCATCCAAGACGATATGGTTGATCCTATGCATTTTAATCCCATTCTGCGCTGCTGAGAGCTGCTTGAATCAACTTCAACAAGTTGCCAAGATGTTTTTGATGCTATGGAATGTGCCCTTCATAGTGAGTAGAACATGTTGCTTCCAACCGAGCGATTCCGTGGCGTTCTATCTTTGCAGTTACAGGCAGTTACTAGATCGCGCTAACGATACTATGCCTGGTACCGTAGTAAATGGAAGAATAATCTAGCGGCGCATCAAACATTGCATACTTCCATGAGACTAAAGGACCAGAGTCAGTAAGAACATTTTAGACAGCATGGGCTTAGGCAGAACCCGCCCCACATGTTGAAATCTCTCGGATCAGCTATATTTCCATGCTTGGCTTACGTAGTTGTCAGTGACACAGGGAATAGTAACTGCACACACGAAGCGATTATTTTGCTTCTGTGATTGGCTTTACTTGACTCCGGTCCAAAGAACAGTATTCCAAGAAATTATGATCTGTGTAGTTACCCGTCTGGTTGGTGGGAGCGAATCGTTGATGAATATCTTTAAGCTATAGCTCAAGGTGAGTATTATCAACTATGTTTCTCAACAGAATCGAGTCGTGAAATTTTCGTCACTGTTTTGGATTATCTTGCCTGGTTTTAAACTGCATCTTCTGAAGATATGGCAGCGAATGAATCTCTCTTTCTAGCTATTTATAACAACACCAGACCCACAACCGCGGTGTTTTTTAGCCTGCTTGTCATCGTTTTCCTCTGGAACCTACGATGTTACTTGAGGCTTCGACACATCCCCGGACCTTTCATTGCAGCTCTTACGAATATCCCTAGATTCCGATGGGTTCTTAAAGGAGATGCTCATGAGACACATGTGGCTCTACACAGAAAGTACGGGTCTTTGGTCCGGTTCGGGTCAAACATGGTCTCAGTTTCTGATGTGGCCGAGATCCCGAATATCTACGGCTTCAACGGAAAGTATAAGAAGTCTGACTTCTACTGGGTGCTCTCCTTCTACGTCAAGGGTAAAGCCATCCCTGGCTTGTTTGCAACCCAGAATGAAGAGGTGCATCGTCTCCTCAAGCGACCTATTGCAGGAATCTACTCGATGAGCAATCTGATATCTTTTGAGCCTTACGTGGACTCTACCATACGTGAATTCCTCAAGCAACTTGATTCGAGATTTGTGCAGACAAGGAACGTTTGTGACTTTGGGAAATGGCTGCAGATGTTCGCATTCGATGTCATCGGAGAGATCACCTTCTCTAAGCGCCTAGGATTCTTGGAGAGCGGGGATGATGTGGATGATATCATGGAAAACAGCTGGAACTACTTTTATCGAGCGGCACCAGTGACTCAAATGCCTTGGCTCGAATACGTGTTGGCAAAGAATCCTATCTTGCAGTACTTACGAATTACTAAGATTAGTCCCATCGTCGCATTCGCACGTACAAGATTACATGAAAAGGAAGAGGCTGCCAAAACGCATCAAAAGTCTGGACCGGATGCCGATTTACATCAGAACCGCGATTTCTTAACGCGCTTCATGGAAGTAGCTTCGAAAGACCCGGCTACGCCACCATGGGCTATCAATGCCTGGGCAACGTCTAATATTACCGCAGGCAGTGATACAACTGCCATAATACTTCGCACTATAATCTATAACCTGCTGAAGTACACAGAATCCATGGAGTCACTACGAGCAGAACTCGACTCCCGGCCCGAGCTCAGTGATATTGTGGCATGGAAAGAAGCCTTAACACCACCCTACCTCGATGCTTGCATAAAGGAGGCGGGACGGATGCACCCTCCATTTGCCTTACCCTATGAACGAGTGGTTCCACCCGAAGGCTCAGTAATCTCGGGTCAAAAGCTTCCGGGAGGTACAGTCGTTGGTATGCCCGCCTGGGTCGTGCATAGGGATTACGAAACCTTCGGCTATGATGCTGATTCTTGGAGACCAAAGAGATGGCTGGAGTGTGATGCTCTACAAAAGCGGAAGATGGAAAACGCTTTGTTGACCTTCGATGCTGGCCATAGATCCTGCATAGGCAAGAATATCTCGTACCTGGAGATTTATAAGCTTATTCCTACCCTCCTTCGAGATTTTGAGGTAAGTCCCAAAAAGAAATTCGTTCAGTCTTAATTTCAGTGGTATGAATTTGCAATATAAGGAGAAAAACTGACGAGCATCAATAGCTTCAATTTGCAGATCCGGGTGGCTGCGAATGGCATGTTGAGAACCGATGGCTTTCCCGGCAAACCGGCTTGAATGTGAAGATTAAAAGGCGTTCTCCAGCAAAGTCGTCAGAGGAGAAGTTGTAATGAGCACTCAGGCTGTTAGCTGCGACCACTCCGCTTTAGTATTAGCGCTCAGTTGCGGTAGATACAACCCTTTTCTTCCCTTCTAGATGCAAGAGAAGTAGATCTCCACCACTATTTGATCAGCATTATGCCTTTAATTTGTGCATCTGGTAGCATTATCTTTCTCTCCATCTTTTGATTCTGATGTTCCTTCTGCCAAGACTGCAGCAGAATTATCATACTAAATCGCGGGAACGCTATTCTCAAGGATGAAGATCACTCATTCAGCGACACTAGGGATACAAATAGAATGAATCTTGAGGGACTATCTAGAAGCGTTTGAGAAAAAGTTAGAGAAGATACAACGTTCATTGTTTGACGTTATAAAGCCAGAACACGTAAACGAGTAGATTCAGTAATGCTTCAATGACCTTAAGGAGCAGATCGACATGATACGAGGAGGTATTAATGTTCAGATGAGGAACCCCCCCCAAGGCTGTCACGTGCTTTTACGCTTGGCGTTCGGTACATTAGCTACCGTTGCCATTACGCAACCTTGTTCAACTTCGTACTCACAATCAATTCTGCCCTATCCATGATAGCGAAGATCTTGATATGGCGGGTATGCGATTGCTTGACGTGGCTGTACTATTTAATGCTTCTCGTGCCGTTGCTTCGAAGCATTTCAGCATCCGTTTGAAGCAGCTGGATGTATATAGCAAGACTTCGACTTTGGCAAAAGCCTTGCGGAAGCAGACGAAATCTACAGCCCAAGCTCTTCCCCCTTCTGGGCTAGGGCCTAGCTTAAATTCTCACGCAGCATCCCAACGGCAGACCTACAGCTCCAAATCTGGCTCAGGAGTAGGGCCGATTCCTTCCTCGGAAACTGTGCAGGATACAAGCCAGCTAAACAAAGGTTCCGAAGGATTGGAGCAAGACCACTCTTACAGGCCTCACGATAACGCTGTGCTGGATGATGTGCCAAACGGAGAACTGAACGTCCAGCAAGAGAAGGCGAAACGGCATCCATTGCCAGATGGCACGATTCCTCCTGAAAAGGCTGCTATTGGTAAATCCAAGACAGATCAAGATGCCTACAGTCAGCGGCCGGCCACAGAGCCTTTGAAGAAGCCTACGGAGCAACATGAATCGCCATCAAAGAGTTTGAAACCAGAATCCTCAGGCCGATCAAGCATTCCAGATCCCGATAGGGTAACACTCGAGTCATCTGGGTTGTCCTCTAAAGATGCCAGGATTTTGCAGCGACGATCTGAGTCTCAGATCCCATCTAAAGCAGGCGAGCCGCCAAGAGCAGAAGCATATGAGGTAAAAGCGTCCCAAAGTTATGACGGCCCAGAAATGGGTGTTAATCAAGAGAGCGACACTTTCTATAGAGCACCCGATAGTGCATCGCCTGTGCTGTCGGCTCTTCCTCGATTTAAGCTCCCCAAGAACGTAGGCGATGTTCAAGGAGGAGTTTCACATCTCAAGGAGGATGTTAACGCAGATTTTTTCTACTCTTCTGGTGGCAAAGAAGGATCGGCCAGTGCTTCGGAGCAAGAATCTTCACAAGGGCCGGAGGAGCCGTCTGAAGAAATGGTGAATCAGATCTTTCATAGCCCTCGGGTCGCAAGGATTCTTAGAAGCAAGGGACAATTCGGAAGCTTGAAACCCGGGAACACAGGCTCACCGCGACGCAAGTCAACACTTGCCGGACAGGGAGATCATTCAAGTGCCACAAATACCAAAATTGATGGATTTGGCGATGGCGGGTTCAACACTACACGTGGGCCAAAGCAGGAACAGGATGATATCACTAAGCTTGCAGCCGACATACAAAAAGATGCTCAAACAGTTGCATATGTAAGCAACTCTTTGACCCTCGATTCTAGACCATGCTGATCCACTAACAGGTCAAGCGCAGCTGAGATCCGGAGAAAATGCCATGGGGAGCCGCGGGCCGTTTGAAATGCGAGAATCCCGAGTGCCATCGTCCCGATTCGGGCGAATGTGGCAATATGGTGGCCTGGCGGCTTCTATGGCTTTTGGAGCCGCTGGCGAAAGTCTCAAGCGAGCAACAGGTTCTGCTACTGAAAGTGACGGGTCGCTCGTGCTTAGTACCGGCAATATGGAACGCCTTGTTGCAAAGCTCTCAAAAATGAGGGGAGCTGCCCTTAAGCTCGGACAGATGATGAGCTTTCAAGGTTATAACAAATTTTGCTAGAAGGTATACACAATGTTAACATCTTCTTAGATTCAAAAATGCTTCCAAAACCCATCTACGAGGTTCTTCAGCGCGTGCAAGATAGTGCTGATTACATGCCACCCTCCCAGCGCAATTCAGTTTTAGCCAGCGAGCTCGGATCTGATTGGCGAAGTTTGTTCGAATCATTCGAAGAGAAGCCAATGGCTGCGGCATCCATCGGCCAGGTACATGGAGCCATCCTGAAATCGAACAGGCAGAGAGTTGCTGTCAAGGTGCAGTATCCAGGCGTCGCTGCATCAATCTCCTCCGATCTCAGCAATCTCTCGCTTTTGCTTACAGCATCTCGTCTGCTCCCAAAAGGGCTATACCTCGATAAGACGATAGCCAATGCACGAACCGAACTGGCTTGGGAGTGCGACTATATTCGCGAGGCTGATGGTGCCAAGCGATTCAAGGAACTGCTGTCAGACGAAACAGACACGTTTACTGTGCCAAAAATTTATGATGAAGCTTCTGGAAAACAGGTCTTGACTATGGAGCGAATGGAAGGTAAAGCTGTCACTAAAATCCAGAACTTCAGTCAGGAACAGAATGACTGGATCGGAACGCAGATCTTACGCCTCTGCCTGCGGGAGATAATGGAGTTCAGATATATGCAGACAGACCCCAATTGGACAAACTTCCTCTACAACAGCGATACGAATAGACTTGAACTGCTCGACTTCGGCGCCTCAAGAGAGTTTCCACAGAAATTTATGCATCTCTACATCAAGAATCTGATTGCGGCTTCTCGGAAAGATCGTGACGCTTGCCGAGAGCTATCGATACAGTTGGGATACCTTACTGGTTATGAGTCCCAAATAATGCTAAATGCACATATTGACTCGGTAATGACGCTGGCGGAACCTTTCATGGAATCTGCGCCTGAGATCTATGACTTCAAGGACCAGACCATTACCGATCGCGTCAGGAATCTTATTCCCATCATGATTCGAGAAAGGCTCGCACCACCACCAGAAGAGACGTACAGCTTACATCGAAAGTTGAGTGGAGCATTCTTGCTCTGTGCACGGTTGGGAAGCCGAGTAAAATGCAAAGAGATGTTCAATTGGGCTTTAATTAAGTCCCATGCGCAGCGAGAATAGAGGCGGCAGGTGTGTAATCAGTCAGCCATCAATATTCATAATCGTCTTCAGAATCATCCACTTCTTCTAGGATCGTTGTTGATAGCAAGCCAGCTCTAGGCCTTGGACTCGTAGGGCTCAATGGATTCATCTGCCGGCGTCTGACATCTCTACCTCTTCCGTTGCGTCCGAGAAGAGGCTCGCTTGCCTGAAGTCGCGATCGGGCTGCCTTTCGTAGCTCTTCATGCATTCGCTTCTGCTCTCTAGCAGCACGATAGGATGATGCAGAATGACCTTTGACGTGTCTCCCCTTGGGTGGCGCTAGTCGGTCAAGCCTCAAAAGCTGAACGCTGTAGCGCTCAAGCAGGTGTAGAGCGAGTCCAAAGACAATGCCCACTCCTATGGCGATACCAAAGAAGATGTAGAATGTCTGTAGCCAATGTGAATACCTTGCGCCATATAAGCTCTGTGCGGAGTCTGCACGCACCTCAAATTGGGCCAGCAAACGGAGAGACACCATTGAAATCTGCTTTCCCATGCGACCCAGCAGAAGCAGAGGCGCAAACAACCAACTGAGCAAATAGAGCAGCCCTGAAAGCAGTAGACGGAAAGGAAGGAGAAGGTACGATAAGATGGTCAGCAGGTGCCACAACCAGTGAGTATCCATTGTGGCGGCTCGCTTGATTCCTGCCGCAGCATACTGCTCAATATCCGCCATCTGTATTCTTATGCACTTGCTTCGATTTCCGTTTCATCCATCGTAATGTCTTCCAGGTACCATATGTTGGAAGAATATGGATGACTTAGTGCTAGAATAGAGCAAACAACACTGACACAGTAAGTTAGTAGTGATCAAACTCATGTCAGATATCCCGAGCGGGGAGCAGCTTCCGGCGCAAGGATTGTTTTGGTGGGGTTCGTTCCAGGGAGCGGAGGACCAACCATTTTTAACTTTGCCCAGGGAGACAGACAACCGAACCTACGTAGTATTTTCGAGGGTTTGACGCCAGGGAACCTTAAGCTTGATTACTGTGCAACAAACTGAATCCTAACCATTTGCCTGCTCAAGCTTCTATGCACTTTTACTTCAAATCACAACAGTCCTCTTCCAGCTGAAGATAATTTTACACTTGGGAGGTCCTAGCCTGGGGCCTTCGAAATACTTTCCCGATTTCCTCCCTGTCCTCAATAGGCCGTTCTGCCGTGAGGTCCGGGCAGCTTATACCCGTCAACATCTTCCAAACCTTTTCCACCATCATCATTCAATGCCAGGCAGTGTTCCGTAAAGACTGCGGTACACGGAGGCCAGCTCAACACCTGCTCTCAAATTCTAGAGCATCCCGGCATGGGCAACCAACCCTCAAAGCCTCCAAGTCGCTCCACGACGCACCATGAGAAGGATGAGAAGCAACAGAGACTCGAAAAAGAGAAGGAACGAGAGAAAGAATTAGAGAGGAATCGGGATAGAGAAAAGGAGAGAGAAAGGGAGAAGGAAAAGGACAGAGAGAGGAAGGTCAATAGAAGGATATCCTTCCAAGCTCTTTCCCATGGCAAAGCTACTGCTGCAGATCCTTCTGCTACGACTACGAGTGCGCTCGCCCAAACAATATCTCAACCTCCAGCACAAAACCAAAACCTACAGCAGCATCTACAGGCGACTCAATCACATAGCCCTGATCAAAATGCAAAGAGTGCTGCGTCCGCAGACAGATCTATTTCACCGGGAGTCATCTATGAAGAGCAGAAAGAGCGGAGTTATCGGCTGAAGGAGAACCCTGTGCCCTTACCCACTCCTGTAGCGAATGCCGAGCCATCCATTCCCATGGACGTTCCTGGTTCAACAACGACAAAAATTGCTCGAGATAGCAGGGAGGGGAGCGCAGCATCCAAGCCATCTCCTCCGGCCTTGACACCGCAGTACACCCCTATATCGAGCATGATAAGACCACCGAGGCTTCCATTAGCAATCGCAGATGAGGTGCGCGCTCCGGACTCACCGCCGTTGGAACCAGCTGGGACGACAGATGAGGAGATCTCTATTTTCGACGATGAGGAGGCAGAACTCCCGCGGAAGAATTCCACTCTCAGCAGCGCAACAGCGGATGACGAAGACGTTGGGCATGAACTGCAACCTTATGCTGTTGATACAGGAGGTGTCAATGTGGTACCCACCAGGATTGATTGGAAAGGTGATGGAGAAAGGGTCTACGTGACGGGTACATTTGCCCATTGGGACAGGAAGTTCCGTCTACATCCAAGGTAAGAATTTTATATTCCTTTGTCCAAAATTTTCGCTATACAGGCAGCCACGGACATGGCGGCAGTCGAGTCGCGTTCTGTTCCTCCCGTTCTCTCATTAGATGCTATCCTAAGTATGAATAATATATCTTCCAGCAAAGCTCACTTAGTTGCCCCGTGGACGACGCTGCTAACTTATCATTTCCAATGCAGCGAGAGAGGAGAAGGCATGACTGCCACGATAGGATTCCCACCAGGAACACATCACCTCAAGTTTATTGTCGATGGAGAAATGGTCCCATCACCTGACCTTCCCACAACTGTGGACATTCACAACGTGCTTGTCAACTATATCGAGGTGGTGGCAGACGAACCACCCAGAGGCAGACGCGAGAGTGGTCAAAAGGCAAAAACAATTCCTCTAGACCTCTACCACCCACCAATCGCTCTGCCTGACGAGGAGGAACTGGACTCGGGAGAGGAGACTCCGGAACGAGAGGAAGAGCTATCAGAGCCCTCAGACGAGGAGATTCCTATTGGCGATTTCAGACAGCTCATGCCTCAGGCTCTGATGGACATGGACCTGTCAGAGGACAATCCGAAATTCAGACAAGCATACAACATCATCAATGATACTCCCGGGCCTCCAAGCCTACCCCTGTTCCTAGGCAAATCGATTCTCAACGGTATACTGCCACACAAGGATGATAACAGCGTCTTGACCCTACCGAACCATACCGTCCTGAACCATCTCGCCACAAGTAGTATCAAGAATGACGTGCTGGCCACGAGTGTGACCACCCGCTACAAGAAAAAGGTAGCTTTGTCCTCCCTGCCGAATTTGACATATGCTGATAGTATTTTAGTACGTTACCACGATCATGTACAAACCCACGTTCGAAGCGATAGAAGCATAGGGATACAACTTTCCCATAAGACGTTCGGGGTGGTATTTCAGTGCATATTAGCAGCCTGGGGCGGCAAAGAAGCGTGGCGTTAGATTAGCCTGGTAGGTGTGCTAAAATCAGCAGCTTCCCCTGCGCATAATCGCTCTTGTCAGTGGACTTCACTGCAGTTCGAGCCGAAAGGTTGGCTAGCAGCCAGAGAATAAATCGACAGACATGTCCCGACAAGCGTTGTCAGTCATCTCTCCATTGCACCCAGACGTCATCTGTTCTAAACCTCTGTGTGCATGTACTCTCTTCGAGTCTGGTGTGAAATCCTTTCTGGTAGGCTAGAAGACCGGCATGTGCGATCATGATTCCGTTGTCGATGCAGAATCTCTCGTCCGTCGCGTAAACACATCCTCCCCTGTCCTTAGCCATAACTCCCATCATCTCTTGAACTCGCTCATTGCAACCAACGCCGCCAACGATCAAGACCTGATTAGATCCCACATGAGCCATAGCCCGCTCAGTGATCTCAACCAGCATCGCGAACACGGTCTCCTGCAGTGAAAAGCATAGATCCTCGGGCGTTATCAGCTCCCCAGTCTCGGCATCCCTCAGCTCTCCCTTCTTCATCTGCGCCGCAAAGTCATCCACACGAGCTAGAATCCCACTGAACGAGCAATCCATGCCCTTAACTGCATAGGGCAAGTCAAGCAGAAACCGCCCCTTCTTCGCCAACTGCTCGATATTATACCCCGGTGCCGGATCATTCGAGATATTCAATGTCCTCGCAAAGCGGTCCAAACAATTCCCCACCGCTATATCCAGCGTCTCTCCAAAGATCCGATACCTCTGCGTACTATACGCGATGACCTGCGTATTTCCACCGGAAACATACAGCACCACGGGATTCGTGGCGCCGGTAATCTCCCGTCCCATCTCAATATGCCCAACACAGTGGTTTACGCCAACCAGCGCCTTACCCCAGAGCAGACTCAGCATCCGCGCTGCGACCACGACGCTTTGGAGTGGGGCGCCCATCCCTGGGCCCTTGGTGTAGCATATGCAGTCCACATCCTGAACGCTGACGCCTGCTTCCCGGAGCGCTTGTTTGACCAGTTGGACGACAAAGGCACGGTGGTGCTTGGCGGTGTCTTTGGGGAGGAAACCTTCGCCGGGCGGGGAGACGTATGTGTGGCGGATATTGGACAGGATCTGGGCCGGTGCGCTGGCTTTGGCATTGGTTGGGTTGGGATGAAGAATGAGTCCGACACCGAGTTTGTTGGCTGAGCCTTCGAGGCCGAGGGCTATCATTGCGGATGTGAATGGTGACGGGGCAGCGACAATCGATACCTGTGATTGTCTTGTTCACAAGCTTAGTCTTTAAGCTATTGTCCCATCAAAAGGAACTAGAGAAGACCTCCCGGCTTGCGCATTATGTTGATATACATTGAATACCAGAATCTACTCTATCAACCATTGATATCAGATCTTGTCGAGTCTGATACGCGGAGAGTGATTGGGTGATTGAGTGATTGAGTGACTGAGTGACTGAGTGATTGGGTGATTGGTTGTGACGATTGCCAATGACTAAGCGGGTCGGATCGACCAATGGGAGCACTCTGTCCTCCTCCAAGGGCTTCATCTCTGGTTCGACTTCCAAAGGCACACTTCTTCCATTTTCAATTCGCTTTGCAGCATATTCTGTTCCTCCCATACTTCTTGTTCGATATGTCTCTTGTAATGGCAGAGGAACAGACAGAAAATGCAGCAGATCACTTTCAGGGGCTGTCCTCTAACTTCCTGAAGTGGTTCAAGTCTAACCCAGGCACTCGTCTGAGCACGAAGATCACTCTTGCAGACTTGAGGTCTCGTGGCGCTGGGCGCGGCGTTTGTTCGTCTAACGAGCATTTCTTAGTCCGTTCATCTCATCTGATACTTTTACTAGTCACAAATGCCGCCATCTCCACCGGCGAGGAGCTGTTTGCGATCCCACGAAACTTAGTCTTGCACACCACCAACTCGGAACTCTATTCCAAAATTCCGGACCTCTTTGCTGAGCTTGGACCATGGGACTCTCTGATCCTTGTCCTCATCTACGAGTATCTCCACCGTGACTCCTCTCCTTGGTTTCCGTACCTTCAGCTCCTCCCCACCACCTTCGACACCTTAATGTTCTGGACGCCTGCCGAGCTCTTGGAACTTCAAGGAAGCGCCGTGGTGGATAAAATTGGAAAAGAGTCAGCGGAAGAGAATTGGAACCATACAATATTCCCAATCATGATGGAAAACGAGGCACTCTTCCCTCTCTCCACCGAGAATGCCACTGACAGACAACGGCAACTTCTACAATTGGCGCATATGACAGGCTCCATGATTATGGCATATGCATTCGATTTAGATGCTGACAGCTACGGCAACAGTGACCAAAATGCAGCAGATGAAGGAGATTCTGACCTGACAGAAGATGAAGACAATCCGACGAAAGGCATGGTGGCGTTTGCTGATATGCTCAATGCCGACGCACATCGGAACAACGCACGTCTTTTTCATGAGGATGATTTCCTGATCATGAAAGCCACTAAAGCTATCGGGGCTGAGGAGGAGGTCTTCAATGACTACGGACCCCTTCCGCGCTCAGACTTGCTACGAATGTACGGCTATGTCACCGACAACTACTCGACTTTCGACGTGGTGGAGATCTCGGCAGACTTGATTGAAAATGTCGCAGCGAGCTCAGGTATGGATCGGTCGTATTTGATTCAGAAGGTATTCTTGTCTGGCCAGGATTGTGGAAAACCGCTAACATGAAGCCAGCGCAGGGATCTTGAAAGTCTTGGTCTGATTGATGACGCTTTTGTCATTGTTAGACCCGAATCCGGATCGACGCTGGACGAAATCATCCCTGTGGATTTGAGAATGCTGATCACAGCGTTCTGCCAGCCGGGCGAAAATTTCCACCCTTCAAAGTTGAGCCAGAACGTCAAAGAGTCAAGCCTTGCGCTCTCAGAGGCATGCTTGCTTTTTACTTCAATCACGAACCGGCTGGGTGACTACAAATCATCGCTGCAAGAGGATTTAGATATTTTGGAGAAGCTCAAGTCCAAGGACAACCATCCATTGCCTGATGGAGTTTCACATAAGAGATACGAAATGGCTGTACAGGTTCGCAAAGGGGAGAAAGAGATATTACAGCAAGTCATGCAGCAACTCCGAGACTTTGTGGACGCACACACCCGGCAGATCGCCGGAGACCCTGCAAAACGCAAAAGAAATGAGATCGAAACCACAGGCCTAAGCAAGAAGAGATTGATGCCAGAACAGTTCAATTCATTCTCTACATCAGAAGCACACGACCAATGAATTTGAGAATCTTCTGATGCAAGGGTATCATACTGCCAAAATCATTTCTTTGGCTCTATTATGTACACTGACTGATGTTGTCAGAAAGAGGTGAGGATATGAAGCGACAAGCGCTGCCAAATAGCTAGCGTAAAAGCCAAAACATTGGCTAAGGCGACAGGTCGTTGAAGAGGTGGGATTGGTGAAGGACGAGCTCTGCTGGGTTCTGCCAGCTTCTGATTAATGCAACGCAGAAGGCTCTGACGCTGACGTCTGCACGCGGCTGACGAGGCTGACATTTATCATGTTGTGCGGTGGGACTAGTATTATTGGTGCTGATTTGATGATTGTTGCCCAATCACCGAAGCGGTGGCTGTTTGCACATTTTGTGATGGTGCTGCATCAACCAGCGCTCGTCTTGATGCTTGCGTATTAGCGCTGTCTGTCTCTCGGGCTCTGGAGAAGAGAAACGCTCGCTGCTTCATCAACTCGACTTGATGATCGGTTGGATCCTCCTCCACTCTTTCGTCATCCGAATCGAATTTGTACCGCTCTGCTACACGGTCGTCGTCTGCCTCTTTCGACCGGAAAGGTATTCTCCGATCAAACATGATCCGACCCCCACGCCCAACTCGCCTTCGGAACGAAGGCATGGGCACACTTGAGTCATCTCCTGCTGGTGACGCATAACGTAAAGGAGGAGAAAGATGATGGCTAGGAGAATCGACATCAGCTACGGAGTCTACCGGCGGAGATTCAGAAGCCACTGATGCAGGAGGGGTTGGTAGGTACTCGGTCGCAGGCATGGCTTGTCGAAAGTCAGAATTCGATGCAAAGAGCTTCGGAGATACTGGGGTAAGTGGTGCTCTCGTTTTGTCCACAAATCCTTCGTTCCATCTTATGTGTTTCTCCACGTTTTGTTGGATCTCTCTCTGGATGGCTTTGGCTCTCTCTGCCTGCCAGTCTTCTAGAAGTCGCATATCCTCCCCAGGTCCGCCACGACCAGACATGGGGAACCGCATTTGTGGAGACAAGCCTTGACCCGGACTGTCCACGATCTTTTTCTTCGGCTGGGAACAAGGTCAGCCTGGCTTGCACAAAGACACTTAGGTAACTCACTTTTTGGTTGATGAGGTCTTCATCATCTCCCTTTATGCCCAGTTTCCGTTTGGTTTCCTTGACGTCTGAACGTTGCTTGAAGAGCAGTTTGTCTATGCTAAGTACTTCGCTCCTCATGATCTCTCGTTGTTTGACCATGGCCATAATATGGCGAGCATCTTCAAGCTCCTTCCTCAATCGCCGCAGCTTCTCTGCACTTTGAGCATCTCTATGACGTGTCTTGCGTATTTGCCGTATTTCTCGTCTCCTGAAACAGACATAGGGATCTGCGTCGTCCGTGTCCTGACCTGTTTCAAACTTCGTGATTGTGAGTGAAAGGCTGAGAGCAAGCTGGCATTACTTACCTTGAGACTTGGTTGCAGGTTGTGGTTTGCGGAATCAAGCCTTCTCGACTTCCAGTGGTCATAAATGAATTTAGCCAGTCTTCGCACTGTCGGCGCAACAGACTCTTCGAACTGCTCTTCGAACTCTTCTAAAGGCAATACTGGAGCGTTGTCGACGGACGCATAAGGCTGCTTAGTGTGCACCGTCTCTTCGAAAAAGCCCATGACTTCTTCGAATTGGTCCTCGGTACATGGCTTCAGCTCACTTGGCAAATGAAGATTGATTTTTTGCAACGCTATCTCGTCGGCTTCGTCCATGCAATACAGACTGCCGTTACAGTGATCTTCGACCGTGGACGACGATCGAATATAGGTTGCAGGCTGCTCGAACCGTGCAGGATACAGGACATCATATTGGACATTGCTTGCTATTGTTGGCGGCGTTGGAATGTGTGCTTCCTTGAATCTTCCTCCCGTGACTGCCGCTTGTGCCGCATTTATTGCCTGCTGGAGATGGTATTCCTATGGTGTCTGTCAGCAACTGGACGAGAACAGTTTTTGTTGATATCACGTGATGCAATATCGGGTCTTGGCACATACGCTCTCCTCAGCCTTCTCAACACCGGTCTCGACTGTGGTAACACCCCTTGATGCGTCGAGATCGGGTTGTAGATCGACATCAGACTCACGAAAGATTTGCACATTTTGTTTTGGACTAAGTTTTTTGGGGCGTGTATGCCTCCCCAGAGCTCGTGTAGACATAGGGCCCTGGGTATGGCTAGCTCGAAAACTTTGTACGGTAACAGTGTGCAAAACTGAGTGCAAACGAAAGCTTAGCTCATGTAGAACCGAGTAGTGACGTTTTTAAGATAAAACTTGTTACTGGTGGCTAGTATTGTGATGATTTGTTGAGTTTTGCTTGAGGCGTCGTTGTGAGGTGGTTAGGTGTCGTTTGCCGTTGCGGTGCCGAGTGCGTGTTGTTTGTGATCCTTGCGGCGCCCCGGATATCTGGGAAAGGGGGCAACGAACAGGCGAAGAAATGCTGCCTAACTGGCGCTCGGGGGCTAAAATGTTACTAGTGCGGGGCACTGTTGGCTTAGTGAATGTGCTAATTCTTCTCCCACGGGGCCGTCACACCATCTTCACTGCCAAGATTGATGAGACCCTGCTCTACGTAGTAACTAAGGCTCTATAATACTTTCCTCCATGTTGGTTGAATAACTCTGTGCTATAGTCATATGCCCAAATACTTGTCCACAGCGATCCACCTTGCGCAAACAATTCTCTAGTCTTTGTTTGAATCTTGCGATGGCAGAGGCAAACAATGCAGCCCTGTATGAGTCTCGACGGCGGCAGATGGGTGGCTCCGAAGTTATCGACAACATTGTTTCTGGATCGAATTGTATGATTCTCTTGGCTTCCCGTGGAGTTTCGACGACATCGAGCTGATTGCAACGATACGTAGTCGACCGGGACGAGGTTGATCGGTTAAGAAAACGATTCATGAAATTGGACAAGGTGTGGCAGAATCAGCGTCATATATATCATCAAAGCTAAAGCGAACCTTGCGCAGGACAAAAATGGAACGATAGAACGAGATGAATTTCTCTCTCTGCCTCAAGTATCATCAAATCCTCTGGCAACTCGGTACGTCAGCTTTGCTCGTGCTCCGTCGTCCATGCCGCCACGGTTTCCCCGTCACTATTCCGCTATGCGCGACATGATGGATGAGCGAATACTTACACTGCTCCTCCCTATTTGCAGAATGATCGCCATCTTCGACGAAGACGGTGGCGGCGACGTTGACTTCCAAGAATTCGTGTCCGGCCTCTCCGCCTTTTCCTCCAAAGGCAATAAAGAAGAGAAGCTCCACTTCGCATTTAAGGTCTATGACATCGATCGCGATGGCTACATCTCCAATGGTGAGCTGTTCATCGTGCTGAAGATGATGGTCGGCAGCAATTTGAAGGACATGCAGCTACAACAGATCGTGGACAAGACGATGATGGAGGCGGATCTGGACGGAGATGGGAAGATCAGTTTTGAGGAGTTTACCAGGATGGTGGAGAACACGGACGTGTCCATGAGTATGACATTGGGTGAGTTGATTTCATTCCTGCTACTACCTAAAATAGGATGAGCATGTTTTTGCTGCGTGGGTGCTAATTGTAGTTGTCAGATCAATTCTAATCTTTCCGAAATTATGCGCTGTTGTCAAGAAACCACAGACCTGAAGCCAGCACGGCCTCATCACCCGTCTGCAGCCGCGCCTATATCATTCCATACGACTAGCACCACAGCGGAAAATAGGCGAATTGTCAGGTAGCGTGTCCTTGACCTCTATTCAGCACACCTCCTACTGTGCCTTCACCCTTCGCAACTCACGAGACCGAGGTTGTTTGCGCGTACCTGGCTCCCTATGTGGCAAGTGGTTATATCGTTGTAGGTAAGCCGAGGCTCAGTACTCGAGACAGACTGGAAACTGGATATGTGTGGTCTCTATACATGCTTCCTGTTTGGGTATTCGACCACAGCAGCACTGTTTCTTCGTTCTGGCAAACGTATCACCACGCTGGACGGAAGGTCCAAAGCTCGCAAGATGGTAAAATGTACAGTGGCAGGAACAGCGAGAATGCACCAATTTACAGATCATCTCGGGATCCAAGGACGGCTTTTCCTTGCCTTGAGCTTTCCGGCCTTCTTTCGCTCCACACGCCTGGCATCAAATGTCATACATCCGGCTGTAGGATAAGCTTAGTAGAGAACATCACATTGGGTATGAAGGGTGAAGTGTGCTCACCTTTGCGCAACGTTGGCTTCAAAGCCGGCTCATGCACTATCAGCGCTCTTCCCAGCGCCAACGTGATACTCTCCGCTTGGCCGGTGATCCCTCCGCCCGAAGTAAGAGCAAAGACATTATACTTGTCCATTCTTCCTGTCACCTTAAGCGCCCATAACGCGCTCTCCCGATCATGCAGCCTCGGGAAGGCCTGCAACACGCTCTTCCCGTTGACCAGCACCTCCCCATTCCCTTCAACTAGATGAACTGCAGCGGATGATTCTTTCCTGCGGCCCACACCATACGCTCGACCCTCTGCATCCAGTTTCCCTGGCGGTGGCTTCTGGATCCCCACCGCGCCCGGACGCCGGAACCTGTCTAACACTTCCTGCAGCTTAGTTGTCTGCAGCTTTGGGTGGATCTGATTCAGCCTCGTTAGCAGTTGTAGCACTTTGCTGTATCTGCTCGAGGAGACCGGCTCGTCGAGGTTGGAGCGGTAGGTGGCGAGTTTGAGCCATGGGGAGAAAGGCACTTGGTCAACAGACACGGTAGGGAGGGATTCGTATTCACGGAGGAGAGAGCGCAGGAGGAGCACATCGTCGTTGAATTGGGGGGAGGCGGTAAAGTAGGAGGGGGACGCCGGGATGATGCGCGCGGGTCGGTTGGGGGGCACGGAGAATTGAGAGTCAAGGTCTAGGGGTGGAGCGGCCGTGATGATAAGACTATCTCTTGCTGTTGCTGCTGAGGCTTCGGCATCGACGTAGGTGGAGAGAGCGTCTGGGTAGGAGGGGGTGGTTGAAAAGGGTTTGCGTTGCTGCCGGGGGTTGTGCTGGAGGAGGAAAGATGCAGGTGGGAGTCGGGCTGCGCGTTGGCGACATTGGCGACAGATGCTTTGGAACGGGAGCAGAAACAGGCCCGATTGATTTGAGGCCATGCTGCGTAGATGCAATATGGCAGACAAGGCCAATGGTAAGAGTCGTGCTGACGCTGCTAGTAGGTCAAGTCACTGACTATGAGAAGCTCTCCAAATTGGGTGCAAGAGCCCTCCGGCTGCAAAAACAGTGCCAAGCGCTGATTGGCTCCCCACTCATCAGCTCCGATTTCTGCCACCAATATTTACTGTAAAAAAAGAGTCATATCACGACATCTGTCAACAGGCACTCCAACCTCTGGCAGACAGTACCACCCGCTTTGATAGACATTGTGACTGACCGTTACAACCCATCATGTCTTTCGGAAAGCTCTACGGCTACAAGGTATGTTGCTCTCTGCTGACCGCACAATATTCTCTCGGATGAGTGGTTGTCAGAGACTGACCTATCTGTTCCTCAGGAAAACGGCCGGTCCACCGTTCTATTAGCTGTTGCAAAGGAGAACAACCTAGACATCGAGCTCGTCGAGACCAAACCTCCTGTTCAGGATCTGGAATACTTCAAGCTCAATCCTTTGGGCAGAATCCCCACCTTTGTTGGCGCAAATGGATACATCTTGACCGAAACCATGGCTATTGCTGTGTACTGTATGTCGAGCCTTGCCTTTTGCCAGCTGCCGCCTCTTCACAAGATGAGCCATATTATAAACACAGTTATCCCTGTCTGAAAATCCTGTTGACCATTTATGATTCTGACCGCACTCACAAACTGTTCCACCTGGTTGTCGCATCCAACAGTTACACACATCACTAATTATTCGTAGTCACTTCCCAGAATGAGAAGACAACACTCCTGGGCAAGACAAAGCAAGACTATGCCTCGATCCTCCGCTGGATGTCCTTCGCAAACACTGAGCTTCTTCCCAACATTGCGAATTGGTTCCGTCCACTGGTTGGACTGGACCCCTTCAACAAGAGGAACGTCGACGATGCCCGTGAAGCCACCTTGAAGACAGTTATGGTCCTTGAACAGCACTTTCTGGTACACACATACCTCGTGGGTGAAAGACCAACCTTAGCCGACCTCTTCGTTACATCTCTCATATCCCGCGGTTTCCAATTCGTCTTCGACAAGAAATTCCGTGAAGAACATCCAAACACCACGCGCTGGTTCGAGACGATTGCTAACCAGCCAACTTGGAAAGCTATGGTTGACAAGCCTATCATGATCGATGAAGCTGTCAAATACACTCCTCCCAAGAAAGAGCCAAAGCCAGCCAAACCCGCGCCAGCACCAGCCGCCAAGCCTCAGACTAAGGAGAAGAAGGAAGAGGAGGAGGAGGAGGAGGAGGAGGAGGAGGAGGAAGCTGCACCGGCTCCAAAGGCTGCAAAGCATCCTCTTGAGAACCTGCCGAAACCAACCCTCATCCTTGATGACTGGAAACGCAAATACTCGAATGCCGACACCCGTGGAGAGGCCTTACCATGGTTCTGGGAGCACTACAAGCCAGACGAGTACTCGTTGTGGCGAGTGGATTACAAATACAACGATGAGCTGACCATGACCTTCATGAGTGCAAATTTGATCGGTAGGTCATACTTCTCATGTCAATCTCAAATGCGCTAACTCATACCCTAGGTGGTTTCTTCAATCGTCTTGAAGCCTCCCGTAAGTACCTCTTCGGAGCCGCGTCTGTCTACGGTACCAGCAACGACTCCATCATTCGGGGTGCATTCCTCGTCCGTGGCGATGACGCTGTACCGGCGTTCGATGTTGCCCCTGACTATGAGAGCTATGAGTTCACTAAGCTGGACCCCGCTAAGCCAGAGCACAAAGAGTTCGTGGAGGACCAGTGGAGCTGGGATAAGCCTATCGAGGTCGATGGTAAAACGTACGAGTGGGCGGATGGGAAGGTGTTCAAGTAGACTGAACGCCATGCATGTCGACTACGGTTGAGCAGGGACGAGGCCTGAAGCATGTTGAGGTCTGACGAGACAAGTTTCACGACAGACCACGATATGATCGAAAATGGAAGGCAGTCCAAGCCATCAGATAGCTGATGATAGAACAGGTCAATTTCCATGAATAGAGAATGCAGCCTTGCACAGTGTCATTTTCAGGCAGCTATATGGAACATGATGTACCCAATGTTCGTGGGTTTGGTCATTTTACTTGGCCCCATTTCCAGACGGCACAAACACTGCGGCTGACCAGAATGTCGTATGACTCCCTGAACCGATCGATACCCTGACTGAGCCCACTTTCACAGCTCTTCTTCCCCAACACTCCACACAGGTGGACATAATCCAAGATGACTGACTGCCTTTCTTACCGCACCCCTCATCCTCACCATCTCTTTCACATGATTTCTGTCGCAGAGATATCCTGATCTTGCCGGGAAAATGTAGAATAGCAATTTTTGCATCTGTGGTTGCTGGGAGCAGGAGAATTTCGAGTTTTTGCCGGGTCCGGTTCCGGGTTCGGTCCAGCAGGGATGAGACGGTTGAGCGCCTAAGATTGTGTGTGTGTGGGGGGGGGTGGGGGGGGGTCAAGAAACTAGGAAAAAGTGACTACACAAACCCAGGGGCATATGAATGGGGGGGATGATCGAGAGGGGAAAGAATATAGGATGGAGAGAGAAAGGAGAAAGGACTTCGAAAGGAAGGTGAACGAGAAGGAGACGGAGGGGGAAGAATGGAAATCTGCGTCCCCGTGTGTGTATTCACGGTTGAACAGGTTTAATCTCGTCGAAACATTATGGAAGGGGAGAATTTGCCATGTAGCAATTTCGGCCAATACTGAAGAATGACTTCTGCGTTGCGCCTTCTGGTGAGAGAGCTGACTGATGAAAGCGCTCTTCATGCACTTCCTTGAGCTGGTTGGTGAGCGCCCGTAACCCCTGTTGCATTGCTGGGTCTACGTTCTCATGGTCCGAACAGACAGAGACCGGCGTTTCTCCCTCCCTCTTCATCTTTCGTCCTTAAACCCTATGTTGCTGATGTCATGTGGACACCACATTCCGCCCCATCCATTGATCAATTCAACACGGCATGGGCGACCTAAACAATACCAGCAGCGGCTGCTCACTGGCGCTCGAAGATTGTATCGTGGGCTAAGGGTGGGAGTACGATGAAGCCCAACACAGTTGATCTTCAAGCAGGTGTAACAAGCACAAAGGTAGTTCTGAATAAGCGTGTCTCGATTTCGTGGCCTTAAAGCTGACGAGCACTTCTTGGATGTGTGTTTTGGTTTCGACATTAAAGAAGTGATGGCTGATGAGCTTCATGTTCACAAGTGACTTGTAGCCAAGACGGACGATGATGGCCAGGTGAAGTTCGGTAGACAGGGAAGTGAGTGACATGGTTGGAGGACCACCTTTGCGTGGGCTGGATAAGAATGTCTGCGTACAAAATAAAGATGCTCGGAGGGTTAGGGTCGTTGCAAAGTGCTATGTGGGAGTGGTGTTCTGTGTATCGTCTCTGGGTGAAGTCAGCTTGACTTCTGATTGAAGATGAAGTGAGATGAGTTGGCACCAAAGGCCCCATACGTTGACGATAGGGATTGGACCTGAGATGTCTTCAACCTTGTAAACACGTATAGAACGTCTCTTTCTTGTAAATAAGTCAGAACAAAGTTGGAGCAACATAGTATAGGCTTTGACTAACAGTGACTTCAGAAATTTGTTCTCTTCCTTAGCATCACACGCACGATATCGTCTGCTCAGCGCGTCTACGCCACATATATCGGCTGTTGAATCGGCAATGACGAGGTCCTGAAACCAGTGCTCCGTTCGAGGAGAAACTTGTAGACAGGAATAGCAGGGAAAGTAGTTGACCTGAATGAGCCAGTCCTTGTGTGAACGCTCGAACTCGAGCAGAGCCGCCTGGACTTGGTCTCGCCTCACCAGGGAAGAGAAGTGGCGATTTGTACGATGAAGACATCGAAGAGCGCAGAAGTCATTGATGTAGGAAATTATCTGCAGCTGGATCTCGGTGGGAAGGGAACCCAGAGACATGGTTTCAACGACAACTGTAGGAGCTGTGATGTAGTATATTCTCATGCAACAACCATGAAGAGTTGTAGAAGGAGAAGAAATGGTCGAGCAACATACATTGGCTCAGAGAACACTTTACACATGACATCCACAATGCATTTACCTGCAGGACTTGTGGGTGCTGAACAGTGTTCCTTGCCCACCTTAACATGCTAGATAGGTGTTGATGCCCCCACTCAGGAGGTCGCTTCGCATCTGTGGACGATTAAAGCATCCCCTTGGCCGAAGTCTCGGGCATCCATAACATGCAAACTTTATCTTCTTCTTACGATCTGCTCGTGATTCGGACATTTCGAAGTGGATGAGGGTCGAGTAGATGTCTTTCCGTGTTATGAGTCTACTAATGTGCTTGTTGACGAAGATGAGGCTGTGGAGAGACTGGAAGTCAAGATAAGAGATGATTGGAGTTGGGTCCCGACCGGGAGAAGAATGAAGAGCATAACTGCCAGTGCCTTGTTGGCCAAATTTTGAGATATACTGTGCAACAAGTTGAAAAAGTACACTATTTCTCTGCTCAAGAAGTCTCAGCAATCTGCAATCACCTCTTATGGCAGAAAACTAGGCCCATGCAACAAAGTGTGCCTGTCTTACTACCTGGTTCAAGGGATGCAATCCATTTACTGGATTTCTCTGGTTAAGGCTCCATCAACTTAGAAGTATCGCAGAGATGTCGTCGTCAAACATCGCTCTCGTCGCTTGAAGAACTTCTCTTTCTCTTGTTGCTCGGCCCTGGCTTAGATTGTACTTGAGGCTTCGTCTTTCCTTTGGTGGTTGCACCTACCGTTCCGCATTCTTCTTCTACCATCTTAAAAACGAATCCTCTGGCTTCCCTTTCCTCTCCCCTCCAGGCACCCCTCTTCTTGTGGTCCTGACCATCTTGGTCAGCGACTTCGCTGCCGTTTGTCTTCCTGCGGATCTTGCCAACAGTTCTGGCATGTCGATATCCTGGATAAGCTTTCCAAGGAAACCGCCAACTTGTGACGACCTGAAATCCGGAGTGTCGTGCCAAGTCCCTGATGTTCCACAAAGTGTATGGTTCGCCGTCAAACAAGGAGACGATTACCTCTCCAGTGGCCCGTGCGTTTTCAGATTCTTCCTGATCTTGGTCGCTGTTCGAGCCCTCATATAGTTCTTCGTGATTACACCGCTCGAAAGCCTCGTACCGGTCGGAGGGCACTGGTTTTGACTTGCTGGCCAAAAGAGACCTGCACGACTCGAAGAAGGCAACAAGCAACTCTTGGTTCGCACGAACTTGCCGGTTGACGTCCCTGGAGAGTCCGCCAACGTGTGGGAAGTTGAACACTATCTTGTTATAAGGCGCGTTGTGGCGGACGGGCTTGTATTTCGGGAGATTGTTTGCTGATATGGAAGGATGAAAAGAGATATTGCTATGAGCTGAATCGTTACGGTAGTAGCTCTCTAACTCATTGGTCAAGCTTGATGCGATATTCGTGGTGGGGTGTGTTGTGTCTGACGAGGAGGAAGGGGATAAGCCTTCCCATTCCGAAGAGCTTTTGCCGTCGACCCCAATCTGTTCTATGGTCTCTTCAAGGAGCAGAGCCTGCTTCTCTGTAGGCTCCAGATATCGCTGATCGGCAGACCTGTCTAGCCCATTGTGGCTCAGGAGTTTCTGCAGGATCTCGCCAGCCTGGGGGTACTTCTGATGCAGGACTTCCTCCGAATCATAGCAGGTTGCTGTAACGTATTTGCATTTGTGATGCTCAATCAGGGACAGTGCGAAAGAAAAGTCTCCTGCAGAACAGTCAGGATGGGGAGCATAAGAGCACAGTGCCAGATTTAGGGGAGTCGATAAGGTTAATGAGGAGGAATAGGAACCGGGTTAAGATCAGTCATAGACAGGACAACTTCGGAAGTAAAAGTGTATGCAGAAAAACAATTGGCCCAGTTTTCAGTGATAGTGCCCCTGCCAAAATCAATAGAAGAAGTCAAGATGAAGCTCCATCCAAATTGATCAGCTTTTCATCAAAGTACTCACCTTCGCCGACAAGCAAGATATGATCAGATGGGCGGAACGGCACCACAGCTTTCACATGCTGTGGTTGTTTACCCTTCTTGGATGGATTGCTCGGTGCTGATTTCTTCACAGGTCCAGATGTGGAAAACTTGTTCTTAGCTTCGGAAAAGTCGTGATGGTGCCTGTGTGCTTGTCGAGGTTTTCCATGCTGCTTACCCATGGGAGTAAAGAAGGTTTTAAAAATGAAAAAAAAAGAATGGCAAGTATTGAAATCCGGCATAGGCTGCTCGGAATTGGTCTCCAGTGTGATTGGTCTCAGACACTACAGAATATTTCGCCTTGGAGTACCAATCTACTGTTAGCTCATGATGAATGGCAGTATAATCTACTCCTTACATTCTCGAGTATACGATACCCAAGACACGTCTTAGAAATGGATGTTGCGTCCTTGTCACACCGAGCTCCCTGGTCAAGCGATACCTTCAAGAAGGTCGATCAATCCAAGTCGGATCACCACAAAGTAGAACTCGAATACTAGTACAAGACTCATATTGTCGCTTTGGCGAGACTAGCCCGAGAGTAGACACCTGTTTGCTTGCCATACATAGCAAACATTGTCTATGCGTCTATACGGTGACACCAGCATCCTCAGAAACGCCCAACTCAGAGATGCATACATCCTGATCGCTACCCATTAAAAAAATCCGTTTGCTCTTTTCAACCTGTGCCAGATTCTTTCATGACTTGAAGCCGTCTCTCATGCTTTGACTGCTTGCACTGATAGGCGCAGTGTTTGACGATGGCAGAATGCCAGTCTTGGGTTTGGAGCTCTGCTTGACCTTCGACACTGCATAGACAATGCCACTGACAAAGCCCACAAAGATCGCCGACACGCTAGGAATAGTCACAGGTGCATCGAAGAATATGAGGCCAGACACAGCGATGGGAAGTTTGTTAAGTGCCCCAACCATAGAATATGTGGTGGAAGAAGTGACACGAACACACCAGGCTGACGTATAAGAGATGAAGACGGATGAAAGTCCAGAGAAGATCATAGCCATGAAGATGTTGTTGCGGGTCTCGACAGGGAAATTCTTGGCGATGTTGGCAGAAGTCCAGTCTTCCACCAGGAGAGATGCGACAAAAAGGATTGGAATCGTAAGCAGATTGTTGTAGAACATAGCTTCAGTGAGTTAGTACTTTGAGCTGCACTAGTGAATGAAATCTTACTGTCGAAGTCCTTGAAATTGGTCAGCTTTATCCTCTTGCGCATTCCAAGGACGTATGCCGCCGTGCAAAGGCAGTTAGCCAACATCCAGATGTATCCTGCATTGAGTGTTGAGATTCGTGCGGTCGCTTCAGATGTCGAAGTTCCATGTGACTCTAATGCATGCTTAATATCTGCCCATGCCGCAATGACTGAGCTCAGCACCATTAGGCCGAATGAGAAAAGCGCCATGGAAGTCACCGAGCCCCCAAACCATAACACCTCCCCATATGCGATTAGGATAATAGTCAAGTTCTTGAAAATCGTGTAAACAGGGATCGATAGAAATCGGAGCGCTTTTGTACTCGTGTAGATCATGCCGATTAGGAGAAGAGAGATTGGAAACCCTGGCATATCAAAGTCAGCTTGTCCAAAGCGGCGCACTTCCGTGATCCAGCACATACACTTCTTTGCTTCATCCACCTTGAAATCACGATAGTTGATAACCCCTGACGACTTGCATGTCTGAATTGCAACAACACAGACAATAGACTGCGGAACACCTTGTCAGCATCTTCATAACCTATTGTAGATTCTGCACAAACCTGAACACAGAGCAGGAAGAAGTTTAAGTTGTAGTCTGTACCGGATAGAACATATTTGTTGGTCACCGTCATCAATATTGAAGATGCGCAATAGCTGAGGATCGGAAGGATGGGATTGTTCGAGAGGGAGCTTGACGGTGCTGGAGTAAATCTAGGTTGTGGCGGAGGCGTAGGTGCATCGAAGACTTTGCCATTCTTTTCCCCCAGCTCGATGTCGTATTCATCTCGTTTCTTGTCATCAGACATCTTGATTTCGTAGTACGCGGTGTCCTCCTGAATCTCAAACGGTAACGGGGAATAGGTCAAGAAGCATTGACAATAGCGGTCAACAGACGGTAAGCACAGGTACACCAGTAAATTATGTGCTGGAAGATTGTTTGAAAGGAGCGCTCAGTGAAGTGAAATTGGTTAAGTGCAGACAATGTAGAAACAATCTGGAAGTCCACGAACCTGGGATGCGATTTGGGTATGGCCAAGCTTTTTCTGAAATGTCTAAGGCTCTAACTAACTAGTTAAAATTAGGGGCGTGGCGGCTGTTCGCCTATCTTCATGCAAAATCTCCTCCAACTTCAGGCATACCATGTGCTTGTTTCAATGAACCCTAAGAATTTTCATCTGATGAGGATCATAGAATATGTCTCAGTGCTAGGCCTACGGTACTGTTCATAGTATTGTCTCGCAAGTATCAACGGTAGCTGTCCTATCAAAATCTGTGAGCAACAGCGCATTAACCTGCCTGCCTTGCTTTACCAGCCGGTGCGGTGCAGTGCAGTGCCAGTTAACAGACAGCTCTTCTGCCCTTGCCAAGCCTAGCCATGGTTCATCATTATCACTGAGAATTCTGCTTGATGCTGAGCTACAATAGCTGTTCAAATAAGGCGGGGATTACTTGGGTGGCCCAATGTGTTCAGGGAGGTGCATGACCTTACTCGACGTGTCTCTAAATTGTCTCAGTGCTTTCTCGCAGGTCGAACTAAATGCCGCTGTATATGCCCATATCCACCTGGCATAGTTTCCTCTCCCTTCAAGACGAAGCCGTACTTGAGATACACCGGATAGCCCTCCATACTGGCGGCAACATATATTTCCAGTCCATCATTATCGGCCATGTCGCAACCGTACCGCATCATGAGAGAAGCGGCGCCTCGGCCTTTGTACTCTTTGGCTGTCGCGATGAATTCGAGGCCTGTAAAATTCAGCAACAGGGAACATGACTTCATGCTGATGGTATTGGGTAACGTCCATAACGAAAGTTATCAAGTAATTGAGACCTACGGTAATGCCTCCTGTCTTCCATATTTTCCTTGCGAAATCGTGCCACACTTTCAAACAACGGATCAGCCAGACTTCGGTCAACATCATCGGGAAATTCCGGCCATCTGCCTTTTTCAGGCCCTGGCTGTGGGCTTTCATTGTCGCGCGGGAGGACCCATCTAACCATTGCCACAACCTCGGCGGTGTCTTCATCAGTGACTTTGGCGAAGCGAGTTTTGGGGTCAAGTAGGGCATTTCGGTGTGACTCTTTCCACCACTCTTCAATAGCCGGAGTATCCGGCATCATTTTCGCATAGAATGGGGTATTGTGGTACGCCCGAGGGAACATCGCCGACAAAACTGGAAGGTCATCAATTGTTGCTTCGGATAGAACCAATGAACCTTTAGAATACGCCATGATTCCAATCGATGAAGTTCAAGAGTGAATAACCACTAAATAGTCGCTAGAATTGTGGAAATTTCCAGAAGGCATGAATTCAGCAAATGACTTGTTCTAATGCAATGGGATGCTCAACACGCTATTTGCTGACTGAGCGAAACTAGTTTGCTCCGATCAAATCCTTTGGCAGAAATGCCCAGACAGTGCCAACAACAGCCATTATGCTACAAGATATGATCAACATCCAATCAAGAATGCGCTCTTTCAACGGGATGTCCTTGCCAAACAACTTCAAGTAGAAAGCCACTGGTAAGATAACACAAATCGTAAAGCATAGCGTAGATCCCATAAGCGCCATAATGCTATCAAAATGCGGAAAAACAACTGCGATGACCACCATCAGAACAACCACAAGTATTCGGATCGTTATCTTGAAGATACCACGGGTGAATCCAGACATGCCCTGAAGTGGCGCATTGGGCGACATCAGACGAGGATCGAGGCCGCATAGCACTTCGATTGTGCTAATGATTGGACGACAACTGTGACGTGTCAGTAGAAGCAAATCGACTCGTGGACTTGTCATACTTTAGAGGTATCTTGGTGATAGGAATGATCGCAATCAGCACTACGATGATGATGGAAAGAAATCGTGGATAACCTTCCGCCAGTAAAATGTTGGACGTCACTTCGTCATGGATATAGTCTCCGAACATCAAAAGTCCCACAACAGCCATTGTCAGATCAAGGCTGAAGGTGAAGCCGTACGTATACCGCAAACTTCTTCCATACTTCTGCGGGTGTCTCATATCGCGGTATATGGACGGAAACACAGAATGGCCACCCCAGGGCGACATCAATAGCCCGAAGCTCAGTGGCAGCGTCGACCAATTCTCCGGAAAAAGACGTGTCACTTCAGGCTCCCGCAGTGAACCTGGGCAATGAGGTTTGATAAGTCCATCGGTGCTGACGACTGCAACCAGCATTGTGCAGCAGACGATTCCCAAGATGCTTGAAAAGGAGAGCAATCTGAGGGGCATGAAATTAAGCGGTATGAGTAATATGCCGCAAATCACCTTCCATTCTATGACTCCCCAGCCCGGAACAAGGGCATCCAAACTGTCAGCGAAAAGAACGACTAGAGCAACACATGCTGCTATCAGCTCCAAGCTGAAAAGAATTCCGGTCACGATGCGAGCTCGTGGTCCGAAACTCACATATGCAAGATCTGCATATGTGATAAGAGCTTGATCGATGTCCAGACAAGCAGTCAGTAACTTCGCAGTGTAGGAGGTGATAACAGCAGCAAACGTGAGAAACAGCAGTCCCACAATCCAGCCCGCGTAATTGATCGCGAGGGGAAGGGCCAGCAATCCCACACCAATCAAGGTATTGACTGAGTTGAAAACGGTTTGGGGCAACGTTGACTGGCCGATGATCACATTTGTTACCGTGCCGTCTTCGTTTTCAACCTGCTTGACTAGAAGCGGCGCTCTCTCGTTGTCTGGCTCTTGGGCACCTGTCAATTGCTGCTCTTGGAAAAGGCGCGCCGCATGCCTTCTAGATGATTCATTTATCCTTGAAGAAAGTGTTCCATAACTGGTGCCAAAGCTAGGATCTATTGGAGTCGCCATATGTGTTGTTTGTAAGAATAATTCATTGTTGGCATCGCTCGGAAGTCTTCCATCCAAAGGTCGACTGCCCTCTCTTCGTCCGGGATCCTTCGCGCTATCCTCATCAACACCAGAGTCAACTGCGCCATGACCTCCCGCGGATTCAAATTGTTGCCTTAGGAGAGATTCTTGTGGTCGGGCGCGCTCTGCGCCACCTAATTCAGCATAATCGTCGTCCTCCGCATCGTGTCCTATAAATGAAGTCCTGCGTACAGGTGTGATCTCGTGGAATCCTGCGGCACGTTGCCATGACCTCGCAAAATTCTCGATGCTATTTACTCCACCCGCTTGCCGTATAGAACTGATCCTGATGGAAATTGAGGACCTCCGCCTTCGCAGCCCATCCCCTCCATCGTGCTCATTCTGCTGGCGGATAGTTCGTGAATCCGAAGTTGCCGAAGGCGAAACCCTGGCTGTGCTATGAGGGCTAGTCCCGGAGACTACAGAACCAGGCGAAGAGGTACGGCCGTGATTATAGCTTTCCCAGGTTATGGGGTGATTCGAGGACCTTTTGGACATTCTGCTCGTCTGGGTAAGAAATGTAGGAGGCGCAGAGCTTATGTGACAGCTGTATGACGAAGTAAGACTTTAATGGCAGGTCGATGGATAGGCGCGGAGACTCATTCCAAGAGTTCCTATCGACTATTTCGTAGGGGCAATGGTCATTCTGCTCTCCGAGAACAAGGAAATCACCAGTACAAGGCGGAAACGAATGGATGTAAAGGAGGAGAAGCTCGAGTGATGGTATTGTTATAGCTGAGGCGCATAGGGAAAGGTTTCACAAACAACCAGGGCCTACCGGTCCTCCTCAGCAGGAAGAGGCAGAACAGTGACGGGAGAGAAGAGTTCCACACCACCAGTGACAGCCGTCCTATTAAGTAGACCTGAAGCATACTCGAAGGGGGATATTCGTACCAGGGCCCTTGACACTTACTGAAGGCGCCAACCAGAGGTGCTGACGAGCATATATGTATGCAAGTGTATCGGTGGTGCAGTGGGGTAAATTGCTGGCTCCGATAAGCCCGCCAAAAATTTACTAGCAAGAATTAGGTATCAAAAATGAAATGCCAAGGCCGCAAGGTGCTCCAGTGAGGCTTGTAGGACAGCAGTCGACGCTACACATACAGAACAAGTCGTAACAACGCTCGAGTCAATATTTTTCAGTCTTCTGGTGGCTGCCCTTTTCTTCCAGCATCTGCTTCGTTACAGAAGGGGCGTATCTGTTATCTCAATACCAGCCAGGGCCCCCGTACTTCATCGTCAGTATGAGTGCTCCGCAGCAGAACGAGGCGGAAAAGAATATTGAGATATGGAAAGTCAAGAAACTCATCAAGCGCCTGGAAGCAGCGAGAGGCAATGGAACCTCCATGATATCACTCATTATTCGTAGGTCTCATGGTCCATGGTTCATAACCTCATTCTGACAGATCGCAGCCCCCAAAGACCAAGTTTCTCGGGCAGCTAAGATGTTGGCCGACGAGTTTGGCACAGCCTCGAATATCAAGTCGCGAGTCAACCGTCTATCTGTTTTATCAGCCATCACGTCCACCCAGCAGCGTCTCAAGTTGTACACGAAAGTGCCTCCTAACGGCCTTGTTGTCTACTGCGGCGAAATTATCACGTCTGAAGGAAAAGAACGCAAGATCAATATCGACTTCGAACCTTTCAAGCCCATCAATACCTCACTCTACCTATGCGACAACAAGTTTCATACAGAGGCACTTAGTGAACTGCTCGAATCAGATCAAAAGTTTGGCTTCATCATCATGGACGGAAATGGCGCTCTGTTTGGCACACTGAGCGGCAATACAAGAGATGTGGTACACAAATTCTCGGTCGACCTACCGAAGAAGCATGGTCGTGGTGGACAGTCAGCACTACGATTTGCGCGGCTACGTGAAGAAAAGCGCCACAACTATGTGCGGAAGGTGGCCGAATTGGCTGTTCAAAACTTCATCAGCAACGACAAGGTCAATGTGGCAGGTCTCATTCTTGCGGGTTCCGCTGATTTCAAGAACGATCTGAACCAGTCTGACATGTTTGATAATCGTCTCTCAACTAAAGTCATCAAAGTCGTCGATGTGTCATATGGTGGAGAAAACGGATTCAATCAGGCCATCGAACTCGCTGCAGAAACATTGAGCAATGTAAAATTCATTCAGGAAAAGAAATTAATTGGGAAGTACTTTGAAGAGATCAGCCAGGACAGCGGAAAAGTATGCTACGGTGTGGACGACACATTGAAGGCGCTCGAGCTCGGTGCCGCGGAGACGTTGATCGTCTATGAAAATCTTGACGTTACCCGCTGGGTTTTAAAGTCATCAGATGGAGTGGAAAGAATTCTCCATACCACAAAGACTCAAGAAGCAGACCGAGAACAATTCATGGACAAGGAAACGGGACAAGAAATGGAGATTGTTGACCAAGGCTCTTTCCTTGAGTGGCTCGCTGAAAAGTACAAAGATTTTGGGGCCAATCTTGAATTTGTTTCAGACCGATCCAGCGAAGGTAATCAGTTTGTTAAAGGTTTCGGAGGGATAGGTGCCATTCTGCGCTACAAGGTCAATTTTGAACAACTCGCTGATTTTGATGACGAAGATGAATTCTATGATGGTAAGTGGAAGCTGCCATCTTTTCCTTTCATTTACTAACACCTCGCTGCAGATTGACGGTGTAGCAACCTCGCAGAGAGCGAGGAAGAATCTCCAAAGATCCAACACACGGCATCTTTGACGGCTCTTCCGGCTCGGCAAAATGCAAGTGACTCACCAGGGTCTCCATCAGCTGGGACTCCGATATTGCCGGGAAAGCGCACAGTTAAGCCACCAGCCACGCAGGAACTCGACCTTGTGCACGGTAGGACCTGATCTTCTGCCAGTCCAAAGTTGGTGTGCTAAATCCAGTATCAGGTCGTTCCAGCCTTCGCCACGTGGAAATGGTCTGAATGGAAAAACACGAAATACTCATGTCTTCAACCAGCAACTCAGTACGATATTGGAGGACCTGAGAATGGTTTTTGCGGATGAGATTCTAGCAGTGCTTCTAGTTCTGACGATGAGAGTGGTGTTAGGTATTTGGGTTGAACGAGGAAGAACATTAAATTGATCATTCACACCGGATTTGGCCTCGAGGTGTCGGAAATATATTTCCATACATCCTTCATTTGCTTAGCTTGATAAACTGGGCAGAGCTAGTCAGTCCTTACTAAAGATAGTGATGCCAGACGGAATGTTCCTAACTCAAGGCACGATGGTGGTATTTCTATCAAACTGGCATCAATTGGTCTTCCCACGACCCCAAGTTACGACAGCTCATGGCGACATTTTCAAGATCTGATATCAAATTCGTGATGGCATCCGCCTGATGTTGGTGGTGCTTTTGCTCACACTCTGCAAAGAAGATATAATGCCACGGTCGAAGTCGACTAGGTCTTGTGTTGATACTCGTAAGGTTGAAATGATGCATTTTGAAAATCGACAGAGCATCAGCGAGAGTACCTGGCGAATCGTGATCAATCGTAAACGAAACCAGGCTCTTGTAGATTCTGGAACTCCCAATGCCATTCTGTAGTGCAGATTTCGGAACACTGATGTCCGCCTTTGCCACGATGAAGAATCTCGTAGTGTTGTCTCCCTTATCTTCGATGCTGTCTGCCAGCCTCACTAGCCCATACTCTTCGGCAGCTAGGTTACTAGCAATTGCGGCACAGGTACCCGCTTCGTTTTCTGACACAACACGAGCAGCTTCTGACGTGCTTGAAGAGTCCTGTCTCACGATGTGTTTGCAATCATTTCGAGACAGAAAGGCAGAGCATTGACCCCAAGCTTGTGGATGAGTGTAGAACTTCTTGACGTGCGTCAAGGCTTCTTCAAGCCCTGATGGTCTCCAAGCATCTTGACCAGAGAGCCTAACAAGCAATTGGTGATGCACTGGCAAATAGTGCTCAGCGCATACTTTGACATCATTGTACTTCATCTGACGGTCTGCAAGTAAATCCAACAACTGCACAACAGATCCATTGCTTGAGTTCTCGAACGGTACCACCCCATATTGGTGTTGCGAGGACTGGACACCCTCAAATATGTCCGCGAACGTCGGTAACGCCTCCACTTGAATGGTAGTGTCTCGAAAGATCTCAAGAGCTGCTTGATGAGAGAAGGATGCCTTAGGGCCCAGATAGGCTGCTTTCATGCCTGATTGGATGTCGGACACTAGATGTATAGCAGGAAGGTTTGTTAGGAAAAGAAGCAGCCCTACAAAGACTTGTGGCGCATGGAAGCTAGTACTGGTGGCTTAGGCTTATCGACTACCTATTACTACAGTACCCCACAAAAAGTCTGAGTCGCAAAACGCGCTAAATGCTACCACGCGAATTTCACCACTCTATTCATTCGACTATTATGGCTCAACGAGAGCCTCTTAAGGCTATTTCTGGCAATCGAGGATATAATCAAGAGTTATCTATATGGGATCGAGCTCAGATTTCTGCATATAAGGCCGTGGGGTTGACAAATACGCAAATTGGTGGCAAGGTCTTTTGTACGCCAACAACTGTTGCTACTACCCTACAAAGAGAATGCCTGCGCAACGCAGGGCAATCGCGCCCGCGCTCTGGTCGACCCCCTGCATTATCAAGAGTTGATAAACGAAATATTCTACGTATTGTACGAAGCAATCCGAAGATTACCTATGCCCTGCTTAAGTCCCAAGCTGGGGTCACTGTTCATTCAAATACCCTCTACAAATTACTTAAGAATAAGGGTATTACCAATTGGATAGCCAAAAAAAGGCCCTTGCTTACTCCGGAAGTGGTTGCCAAACGATTTGCATGGGCAAAAGCGCATAAGAATTGGACTTGGGATCAATGGCGCAAGATAATATGGAGTGACGAATGTAGCCTTGAACGAGGCTCAGAGGCACAGCGAGTTTGGGTCTTTCGTACACTACAACAGAAGTGGGATAAGGATATGGTACAACCCTATAAGAAAGGCAAGGATATCAGCGTCATGATATGGGGTGCAATTTATGGAGATGGTCGTTCGGATATAGTCATAATGGATTGAGATCCTGATTCAGAGAAGTCAGGATACACTGCTAACTCCTATCTCGCAATTCTCAACGACTAATTGCCTCGAACATGGCAACCTGGTATAACGTTTATGCAGGATAATGCCCTTATTCATACTGCCAAAAAGATTAAGAAATGGTTTGAAGATGAGGGCATATCAGTAATAGATTGGCCGCCCTATAGTCCTGATTTGAATCCAATTGAGCACCTTTAGGCGCAACTTAAGCAGTGGATTCAGGAGCATTATCCTGAACTTAATCAAATGGGCAAAAGTGAGGAGGATTATTAACGCTTATTTCGAGCTATTCGCGAGGGTTAGGAGGCAATTAGTCAAGAAGCTATTAACGAGTTAATCAAGAGTAAGAAGAGGGAGGAGGCAGTAGTGGGGCACAATGCGGGGTTGAACTCAGACTTTATGTGTAGTCTAGATGCCGGTGCGCTGCCTCTTTCGGTTTAGCCTCGCCTGATCAGGCAACGCGCCCCCTCGCCGCTTGGGCCCGGGTATAAAGAGCCCGCTGCTCCTCCATCTCCCTCGCTGTCTCTTCCTTTCTGTCTTCTACTCCTTCCTCTTCTCTTGCTTCCCCCCAGCTGGCCTTCCACTCTGGCTTGCTGTGC